AACCGAATTACTCGTGGGTGGTGTTTGTTTTGGTTTTGCCTATAGCTGGAGTTCAGGAGAAGACTGCCTTGTGTTCTCGGTGTCTGGAAATAGTTGCTAGTCCTGCAGTGCCGGAATCGACTAAATCCCCACCAGGCTGAAGGAGGCTGTGAGGCTTATTTAACTCGAGAGTTGAGATGCTTGTCCCATTTCCTGTCTTCACTAGTTACCAAAGGTGCTTGGGAAGATCAAATGTGTTCCTCCAATTTAATCTCTTCTCCAGGTTGAGGTCTGGCTGAATCACGTACTAGACAGCATGAGGGCTACTGTGAGAGATGAGATGACGGAAGCTGTTGTGGCTTATGAAGAGAAGCCGAGGGAACAGTGGCTCTTTGACTACCCTGCCCAGGTATCTACCACTGCTCCTCATCTCCACTCAGGCTGGTATTTGGGAAATGTGGCTCTTGGCTTCCTCTTCACTCCTGCCCTTCTCTTCTTTCACTAATGATTTCTAGTTGTGGATGGGTATGTTTGTGGTCTCTAGTGTGCTGTGCAGGAGACAGGAAGGGTGAATTGTCCTCTATCCTTTCAATCTCCTGACGGAGTTTCCAGGCTGAGTTCCTTCCTCTGATTTGGGGTCAAGGGAGGATGCACCCTTGGTTGGTTTAAGGAGCTTGGGAGCTTGGGCAGTGTCTGCTGCACCCTGTGGGTCATGGGAAGTCTGCAGACCTTGAGGAGCAAGAGCTGCAGCAGGAGAACAAAGTGATGAGGTCTAACAAAAGACAAGAGCCCCTCAGATCCACATCTGACAGCCTCCTGGTCTCCAACTCTTCCTCCTCTGTCAGGAGCGTGAAAGGTGCTGATTTACTAACAAGCAGCTGCTAAGCGTGTTTACCTCTGATCTGATACTTTAAATGAATGTCACGGGGCAGATCCCTGTCCTCCTGTCTACTGTGACTACTGTATGAAGAAATACTTAATTTCATGTCACGGATACTTCATCCTTGATCTCCCTGTGGATTAGACACTCTTGAATGTAATGAATCTCTGGTGTTTTCCCTGACACTGAGCCAGCCCATTTCCCTAGGTGGCTCTTACCTGCACCCAGATCTGGTGGACTACTGAGGTTGGGATCGCCTTTGCCCGGGTGGAGGAAGGTTATGAGAACGCGATGAAGGAATATCACAAGAAGCAAGTGACCCAGCTGAACACGCTGGTTACCATGCTGATTGGGCAGCTCTCCAAGGGCGACAGGCAGAAAATCATGACCATTTGCACCATTGACGTGCATGCTCGGGACGTGGTGGCCAAGATGATAGCGCAGAAGGTTTGTGTTGGCAGCTCGGCGCGGTCCTGTGTTGTTGGGCCTTGGAGCAGGGGTTTCACGAATGGTGGGTCAAACACAAGCCATTCAGATCGCTCAGTGGGAGACACATGGCTAAATTTACTTCCACAATATTTGTGATGCGGAGGCAGAAGGCCCCGTAAGCTTGCAGTGCTGTTCTGTGTCATGGCCCTGCAACCTGAAGGAGCTTGTGTTTGTCACAGGTTCACAACAGGAGTGAGAAGGCGGCTCCGTGTCCTGTTGTGGGGGATTTTTTGTGTTTTTTTTTGTGTTTTGTGGATTTTTTTGTGTAGTCTCCTTGATCTAGCGTGGGGCTTTAGAGACAACTTTGGAGCCAGACTGCTCGCAGAGTTTCTGCCTTCAAAGCTCAACCGGGCTTGATGGTGCCTTGGTCTGGTTTGTGGTGAAGCGGTCCATCTCCTGGACCTGTCTCCTGCTTGTGCGCAGAGCACTGGCCATGGATCTCCGTGTCCCACTGTCCTCAGCCTGTTTCCCCAGTGCAATCTGTTGCCCCATCCCTGTGTAGAAGCCTCTGCTCCTTCTCTTGCTCTGTTTGCATTATAAGAGCCTTCTCACATCCTGCTGCTTTCCCAGATCTCCTCTTCATGAAGCTTTTTGTGCTGCTCTTTTTCTTGGGTGTTCACCTTTTCCTCTCCCAAAAACATGGTTACTAATTTGATTCCTACCCTCTCTTGATGGGCCAGGGGGAGGTGACAATTCTCACCACATTGCAGGGAGGCGACTTTCCTCACCGCACCTGCCTTCACAGTGAGGACCAGTCCGTCCCTGATGAAAACTTCATTTTGGCTCCTGAGCTGTGTGTGCTCAGTGTCCCTGGCCCTTCCTGTGATGGTGCTTGTGGCTGCATTGCAGGTGGACAACTCCCAGGCGTTCATTTGGTTGTCGCAACTCCGGCACAGGTGGGCGGAAGAGGAACGGCACTGCTTTGCCAACATCTGCGATGCCCAGTTCCTGTACTCCTATGAATACCTTGGCAATACCCCTCGGCTTGTGATCACCCCTCTGACTGACAGGTAAGTTCTTGAGAAATACCGTCATAGCTGGGCTTTGCCGCGCTGTTAGAGAACGAGCTGCTGACCAAAGCTGAGTTTAGCTTTGACACCCGCATCCCTTCTGTTCTTTCTCTGTTGGGCAATGCAATCCTATCCGGGAGATGCCCAGTGTAAATGAGTGATGTGAGGGTCCAAAGAAAATGCAACCTGGACATGAAGAATTTGGGCAGACCCTGGTGGAGGGTGAGCATCTCTTGGAGAAAACAGAGCTAGGCAGAGGATGGTAATTCATGCCCAAGAGGACTTTCGGCTCAGGCATGCACCTTGCTCATGTATACCTTTTCAGAAGCAAGGCTCTCCGAGTGCTTTCTCTTGTGCCATTTCGCTGCAGCCCAATAGCGACCTGTTGGACCATGTCTCAGTATCTTTCCTTTTTTTCTTCATCGTTTGCTGGTAAAGATGTTACATCACCCTGACCCAGTCGTTGCACCTGACCATGAGCGGAGCACCTGCAGGCCCTGCAGGCACTGGGAAGACGGAGACTACAAAAGATTTGGGACGAGCCCTGGGCATCATGGTGTATGTGTTCAACTGCTCCGAGCAGATGGACTACAAGGTACTGCTCCCACCTCGGCGGCAATGCCGTCACGTAGGGCTGGGGATGCTCAGGACCTGTTGAAACCTGAACGAGGAGAGTAATCCAGCTGAGACCACTTTGACCCATCACTTTTCCTCCAATCCTCGCTGCATTCCTTTCTGCTGAACTCCTTTTTCTCCTCCTTCCTTCTCTAAGACTTGCACAAGGTTCTGCAGGAGGCAGAATCCCAAACTGTCCTCTCTGCCTCATTACATCCCTTTCCCTTCCCTTCTAGAGTTAAATTCTATGTGAAATTCTTCAAAAATTTTGGCTTTTTCAGTTGAAACCAAGGCTGTGCTCCTGGTCATTTTTTCTTGAATGCTCAGGCTGGCATGCCCTGGCATGGGAAGGGACCTACCCTGGTTTTCTCAGGATCCTGTCCCAGAATAAGGCTAAAAAGTGCTGAACTTTTAGCTGCTGCAGAACTCTGCTTTTGTTAGTCTTGTTCCTTGCCTGTCTGGCGCGGTACTGTGATTTTCTCTAGCCTCAGATCATCTTTTATTCAGCTTACAGGCTCTCCCAGGAAGCGGGGCCATCAGTAATGCAGCACAGGTGACCTTTCAATGAAACTAGTGCACGGATGTATCGAGAAAGTGCAATTAGCAAATCAAGTGGCAAACTGTGCAGAGCTATAAATATTATAATTGAGTTGTGCCTGCTGTTTCCATGCACTTTTCTAAATACCCACAATAGACTGTAAATTGCTATAAATAAACAGGCTTGGAAGTAAAATCCATTTTTTTGCTGGTGTTGATTCCATTTGTGATTTCACTCTTGTAATTTCATATTTTTTTTTTTTTGCAGTCCTGTGGGAATATTTACAAAGGCCTTTCCCAGACGGGAGCCTGGGGCTGTTTCGATGAATTTAACAGGATCTCAGTTGAAGTCCTCTCTGTGGTTGCTGTACAGGTAAGTGGAGAAATGCCTGCAAAGAAATACAAATAAGGCAGAGCCGTACTGCAGCCTTTGGAGAGACCGTAAATAGGGAAAGCGCATGTTGCTGGTTCAGTTCATTGTGTAGGCAGGTGAGGGATTATGTCCCAAGATTAATCACACAAATATCACGGCACTGACAGAATGCAGCCGCGCTGTGCTGAAAACATTTCTGTTGCTTCTTTTCTTCCCCTGGTTACAGCATTTGTGTTGAGGAAATTCTTTACAGCATCTTTTCCCAGATCCGTACCGGCAGCGGCTCTGTGCCTGTTCCTCCCGAGGAAGACACTCGTGCCATTGATGTGCTGTGAGAGAACTGCAGCCCATCATTTTAGGGAGGAGAGCTGCCTTGTTTTATGGCTACTCAATCTTTCATAGGGAATAACTGATGGAGGAGAGGAGCAGTTTTTGGGACAGATCCATGGCCTGCTGGACAGGCACAGCTTGTGTGTCGTGTTTTGAAGATGAGTTTTTGTAACGCTTTCTCTCATCGAGACTGCGCAGTTGTCTTTCCTTCCACTCTCATATAAATGTAGATGTAATTTCTGTGTCTGTGATGAGACCTCCACGAAATGGCTTTGGCAGGTATTCCAGGCCAAGTGGTGTAATCTCCAGGAGGAATGTGTGCAGCCCTACGGGTGCAGCGTGATGTCCCCGAGGGGTGGTGTCCGCTGGGTGGCACTCAGTGACTGGAACCCACAGCAGATCTGCAGCCATTGCTCGTGTGGTGGCCTCGGATACCCAGAGACTGTGGGATTAAGGCTAGGAGAAAGCTGTGTGAGCTGTGCTTGGCTGTGCATAGGTGTTTTCCCCCTAGAATGATTCCCCATCTCCTGCTCGGTTTAACCGTTGGGCGCATTTTATCCATGAGCCCTGTGTGGAGCGCAGCAGTGGTCCTCAGAGAAGGGCTGGAGACTGCCCTCCCCATCGTGCTGGAGAGTCCCGTTCCCTTATGCTCATATAATTTGGCACTTTGCCTTCTCCTTTTCTTCATTTTAACAGAAATCGGGAAGTATTTTACAGAGGTGAAAAGTTTCCAGGAGGAGTAGTGCTCCGTACCCTCCTCATGCCTGCCCAGTGGGTGGTGAGAGGGGCATCTGACATAAGTGCTGGGGGAAGCAGCTGAAATCTGGGGCAGCCCAGGTATAACCACAGGGCAGCAGGATGAGATCAGGCCTTGCTGTCTCTCCTGCTTTGAAGGAGACCCATGTCCAGATGTTGTCCAGATCCTAAATTTCGTTGGAATCCCCTGAAAATGCTGGGTAAATCCAGCTACCAGGGGAGTTTGAGCAGAGGGTGGGTGCTCATCTGCACCATCCAGACCTAGACAGTTCTGACATGGGAAGAAATGAAAGGTTTGAACCTTGAGGGACTGCAATGTTGAAAACTGAGGTGCCAAAGTATCTAAGATCTTCTGGAACCAAGTACCAGTTTAGAGCAGGTTTTAGAATCCCAAAGTCTGCCTGAGGTGCTGAATTCTTCCTAGACCCCCTTTGGGACTTGGTATTGCAGAAAGAAAGATATACAGCCCAGAAGTTTTCTACACTTTTGTGAATGTTTTGGTCAAAGAAGTTGTTCTGAACCCCTCCATGAACTCCTCACTCGCCTCATCTCTCTTTCACTTGTAATTGGTACCTTACGTGACATCCCAAAGAAGCCTCAGGCAGGTACAGGAGTCTACGTGTCGTTCCCTCTCAATTTCTCTTCCGTCAGGTTCTAGTTTAAAGTTGTCATTGGAAACAGTCTTTGAGGATCTTAAAATAAAAAGGGAAGCTGAACAAAAGAAGCCCAGATATGACTCAACTGCTAATGATTCCCTCGCTCCTGGCTGGAGCACAGCATCTGAAGAAAGCAGCACGGCTGTCATTCCATCATCGTGTCTCCTGGCTGCTATTAGGAGTGTAACCATGGCGATGTTTAATTGGCTGTCTTAGTCATGCAGCTAATGTCGATATGGCTCCTTACAGGGAAAAATTCGATTAATTGCTTAGCTTTAAGATGGCAAACAGCAATAAGGTCGGAGTAGTGGATCTGGAGAGATTCCTCCCTCGCCAAACCGCCGTTTGCGGAAAGGCGGTCTAGTTTTAATGAACTCATTCTCTTTGGAGGGTAAGGAATGAGAAGAACAGTGCTGCAATCAGGCAAATATAAAAGACAATATAAAATTAGTTAGTGAAGGTGTCAGGGGAGGTCTTTGAGCTTCTGCCTTGTGGTTTTGGTTTTAAATCAAGCATCTGAAGTCCCAAAATCTTTAAGAGTGGTACCAAGTGATTAGTTTGAAATTAAGCTAAGGGCAAGTTTATTGGGAAATGCTGCTCCTTTCCTGGGCCTGGTGGAGGGACAGAGCCAGGCACAGGAGGGTTTTGGGCTGTCGTGAAGAGCAGTGGTGTGTGGGGAGAGGTGAAGATGGGGACAGGGAATCAGGAGCCCGTATTGTGTCGGGTTCTTGGGACTGCACTTGGGTGTTGGTGGTGTTGTGGACACGTGGACAGCCCTGTGTCTTGTTTCACACATCTGGCTCCTTGTTAGGTTGGGAAGTTGAAAGAGGTGATTTAGCTTTTAGTGATTTTTTTTTTTTTCTGCAAGGTGTGCTGAGATCCTTCAGGTGATGTCAAAAACCAAGATGAGCTGCAGGCAGCTTTACGGGCAGTTCCTGCTTCTGAGCTGCTCTTCCTGACCCGTGTCCTTCTCTGTCTAACGAAGGAAAGGCGCAAATTCTTGCAACTCCTTTGCAGTTTGACTGCCCAGTCTCTTCAGCTCTCTGTTCTGCTTGGTCAGACCTTGATTGTGGAGGAAGATTGATTTTGCTACATGGTTTTATTCCAAACACTGTATAAAGCTTTATGTTGTCAGTAAAAAAAAAAACAAAATAAAGCAATGACAAGCCTGTTTCATCACGAGGGCAAGTGTAAGGAAGACTGGTGTGTTTTTCATAACCAAACCCCACTCCCCACTGTGATAATACTGTCTTGGTTCCTAGGTGAAGAGCGTGCAGGATGCGATACGGGAGAAGAAGAAATCCTTCAATTTTCTTGGAGAAGACATTAAATTGATACCTTCAGTAGGCATTTTCATCACCATGAATCCCGGTTATGCAGGGCGAACGGAGCTACCTGAGAATTTAAAAGCTCTCTTCAGGTAAGTCTAGGCCAAGGTTTGTGACCAGTATTATAAGACTGGTAGAAATTGTCTTTTAGAACAGCCGGGCTTGACTTCATTTCCTTGGAGAATTCACTTGCATTAGGGATTCGCAGATAGTTTCAGCCTTGTGCAACAAGCCTGGGTCTGGCAATGCACAGGCAGGACAAAGGAGCTCTGTCCCTTGCAGTGAGAAAGGCAAAACCTGGCTCAGAGGAAATGACCTGGAAGATAGAGCCGCAAATCTACTGCTCCTAAGACCTCTAGTCAAGAAACGCTTGTTCTGCAATCTTTTCTTGCCTGTCTTTTTAGGCCATGTGCGATGGTTGTGCCGGATTTTGAGCTGATCTGTGAAATTATGTTGGTGGCAGAGGGATTCATTAAGGCCCGGATGTTGGCCAGGAAGTTCATTACTCTGTACAAACTCTGCAAAGAGCTCCTGTCCAAGCAGGTGAGCCCACTTCTGTGGCTGGATGACTCAGTGAAGCCCATTGATCCCTCATTTTTTTTATGTCACTTGCTGCTCAGCTCCGTGGCTGAAGCTTCACAGCTCTTTAATTTGCACAGCTTTTCCCAAATTTGACTGCATTTGTGCTAGCTGCTGGGAGAAGAAAAGGTTTGTGATCATCAGAGCAATGAAATTTTCAAACTGTTTTACTGGACCTGTAGAGACAAAAGCACTTGACAAGCTGTGTTAATGGGAGAGATTTTTCCAGGAGCTCGCTGTATTTGGGGCAGCATTTGCTGACTCTTTGCTTTCCAGTCCCATAGTTTATGTTGATTCTCCTACCTGCAAAGGGTTTTACTATATCTGTCCATCCTTGAGTTGAGTCTAACAGTTCCCTGTCTTGTCAGATGTTGACCAAGTAGGGTCACTTCCAGTGTGAAGCTCTAATTAATCAAATTTTTCTGTATCATCATTTACACAAATCAAAATTGTGCCCAGAGCAGTGCTGGGTCAGGACTCCAGATGGAAAACCTTATCTTGACTGTGCCACTATGAAGCTGGGTAGGAGCTGCCTTGTCATAAAACTTCATCTGTGTCTTGGAGGTCTTGGTGGAAACTGTGGCCTCCCATGGAGAGGAGTCAGCTGTTGAGCTGGAGGATCTTAACAGAGCAGAAATATGAAGCGTTGCTTGTTGAGTTTTTGTGGTCATTTTTGAGCAATGTCCTTACTGTCCCCTGCTTGGTGGACTGTCTCTGGGACAAAACATGCCTGGTGATCTCGTGATGGCCAGGATGGAGACACTTGGCTATTTGGGAGCCTCGTAATGGACTAATAATTTTTTGCCTTAGTATTTGCTTTATGATTTAGGTGAAGCAAACTGTCTACTCTGAACCAAAGTGATGATGTGAATTGACTCTTTGATACTGTCACTGATGGGAATCTTACCTACTGAAGTGGAAATCGCGTAACTCGGGCTGGTGGAGGTCTCTGGCCACAATGCAAATAGATTTGGTTCTGTTTTCATTGCTGACTTGTCTGGCAGTATGGAGCTTCCAGTTCTTCCTCCTGCTTGGCGCTGTACTGTCTAAGCATGAATTCATCCCTCTTCTTTCCTGCGCAGGATCACTACGACTGGGGCTTACGTGCTATCAAGTCGGTGCTGGTTGTCGCTGGCTCCCTCAAGCGAGATGATCCAGAGCGTCCTGAAGACCAGGTTCTGATGCGCTCTCTTCGGGACTTCAACATTCCCAAGATCGTGACGGATGATGTACCAGTGTTCATGGGGCTGATTGGGGATCTTTTCCCTGCACTGGATGTGCCTCGGAAACGTGACCTGAATTTTGAGTCCTACGTGAGGCAGGCTGTGCTGGACCTCCGGCTGCAGGCTGAGGACAACTTTGTGCTCAAAGTAAGACAAAAAATATCCTACTGCATCTACACCACCATTAAATCATGGGGGTTTTCTCAACCATCTTTGCTTCTACAAAGAGGGTTCAGCACAATATTCTCCTCGCAGGCAGATCTTGATGGAGGACAGTCAACTCTGCTGGGTCTGAAGCAGTTGCTTCTTCCCCTAAAGCCAACACTTACTCAGTCTCTGAGTTCACAAAGGGGCTAACTCTTTTAGGGTCCTGAAAGTGTGGTCCCTGGAGAGCAGAGCATCATTGGCTTATGGTTATAAATAGTGCTGGAGGTTTTTCTGCAGGCTGAGGATTTTACTTGTGGTTAGAGTGGCTAAATCAAACTCAATGTCAAAGCTGTTTGTGTTTCTGGGTTGTGTCTTTCTAAAGAAAAGGCCCAATGAGAGCTCTTTTCAGAGTTCTGACCTTCAGTTTGGCATCTTTGTCTAAACTTCTCAGGTGGTGCAGCTGGAGGAGCTGCTGACCGTCCGGCACTCTGTCTTTGTGGTGGGGAATGCAGGCACGGGCAAGTCACAGGTGATGCGATCCCTGAACAGGACTTACCAGATAATGAAGCTACGTCCTGTCTGGACAGACCTCAACCCCAAGGCAGTCACCAACGATGAGCTTTTTGGCATCATTAACCCAGCAACGAGAGAATGGAAAGATGGTAAATATCTCTTTGTGCCTGAATCTGTGGATATTTTTAACAAACTTCCTGAGCGGCAGCAGGGTGACTGGTTCAACGCAGCTTGGAAAGCCCAGGTGCTTGTCTGCTGCTCACAGCTATGTTAGAATCTGTTGTTCAAAGGATATATAACATGGTTTAGCTTTTTGATCTTGGAATGGGAAATATTACCAGTTCCTAATCGAGTAGGAAGTTTTTTGGGCTTGGCTGGACTGGCCATGGCAGAGAGTTCCCTCCTGCTCTATGGTGTGCACTGAGACTCCCCACTTGTGCCATCCCCAGGTTTCCGTAGCTGATAGCACACACGCAGCAGCCCTAAAGTGGTGTTTTTTCACTTAATATTGCTGCCTCTTCTCTGTAGTACACCAGCATTTGCCAATCTGTTGGTCCTGGTTGCTCCTGAGGAAAATAAGATGAGCATTTAAAACTTGCTGAAAGATTACAGGAATCCAGAGTGAAAATGTTCGGTTGTGACTAATATGTAAAGGCAGCTTTGATTTACGTGTGCGTCGTGTTTGGGCGGTGTGGGGGAGGTAAGGGAAGACGTTGCCATAAATCATTCTCAGCCAGAAGTCCGCCAGGAGATGAGCTGCTACTCACCTCCCCTAGCCCCTGCCACGGGCACCTCCTGACCCCTAGCTTTGATCCAGTGCCAAGGTTAACTTCTTTTTAATTGTAATTAAAGACCTTAAATCAAAATGACAGAGGGAAGTGTGGGATACAGCCTGAATTCTGCAGACTGGCTCAGCAGGGACTGCACATTGAGGACTGTGGGTGGCACTGAACAGCAGGAGGCTGCGCCCTGAATAAGTTTGCAGATGTCACCAAACTGGGCGTGGGGTTGACACGTCTGAAGGACAGAATGCCATCCAGAGGGAGCTGGACGTGCTTGAGAAGTGGGCTAATGTGAATCTTGTGAGGTTCAACAAGGCCAAGTGCAAGGTCCTGCACCTGGATCGAGGCAGCCCTTGGTATCAGTACAGGCTGGAGATGCAGGATGGAGAACGGCCCTGCAGAAAAGGATTTGGGGGTTTTGGTGGATGAAAAACTGAACATGAGCCAACAATGTGCACTCATAGCCCAGAAAGCTAATCTCGTCCCGGGCTGCATCAAAAGCAGCGTGGCTGGCAGGTCAGTGGAGGTGATTCTGCCCCTCTTCTCTGCTCTGGTGAGACCCCACCTGCAGTTCTGTGTCCAGCTCTGGGGTCTTCAGCATAAGAAAGACACGGATCTGGAGCAGGTTTAGAGGAGGCCACAAAGATGCTCAAGGGGCTGGAGCACCTGCCCTGAGAGGACAGGCTGAGGGAGCTGGGGCTGTTCAGCCTGGAGAGAAGGCAGCTCTGGGGAGACCTCATAGTGACCTCCCAGTGCTTAAATGGGCCTATAGGAAAGAAGAGGAGGGACTCTTCATCAGGGAGTGCAGTGATAGGATGAGGGGTAATGGTTTTGAACTAAAAAAGGGTGGATTTAGACTGGGAAGAAAAATTTTACAGTGAAGCTGGTAAAACAGTGGCACAGGTTGCTCAGAGAAGCAGCAGAAGCCCCATCCCTGGAGACATTCAAGGTCAGGTTTGATGGGCCTCTGGGCAGCCTGATCTGGTAACCATGTCCCTGCTTTCTGCGAGGAGGCTGGACTAGATGACCTTTAAAGGTCTCTTCCAGCCCAACACATTCTATGATTCTGTGATTTTACAGGTTGCAGTCCAGTGGTTTCTAGCCTGTAACATTTCAAGGGAGCTTATGGGACTCCTCCCTGAATTTTCAAGGCAGATATTTTTTCATGAACCATGCCTGAAAATTTTGTTTCTTGTTGCCAGCAGTCAGCACGACAATCTTTGCTGTGGTCTAGCAAGAGGTGCTGTGTTCCTGTACAAACCAGCTCCTTTTTCTCTTCCCTTTTTCATTTTATCATTACCAGGAGTCAAAAAGGTTCCACGTGTTAGATGGAAAAAGGTCTGCAAGGGAATCCTAAAAGTGTTCTTTGTAGAACCAAACTCTTCCTTTAAATCCCAAGCCCGCTCTGTGATGTGGATGCACCAGGTTGGGGGAAGAGATGCTTTTCTCCCCGCTGCTGTCGTGATTTATATGAAGGAAGAATTGATGCTCTGAGGCAGGAGCTATTTCTGACACTAATGATGTCAGAGCAGTTTCCAAGACATGTGTCCCACATGTGAGAAACAGAGTAGAGGCAGAGCCAGTGAAATATTACGGTTTGGAATTTTTTTTTGGTTTTGGTTTGTTGTTTTGGTTTTTTTCGGTGGGATTTTTTTTGACCCAATCCCAGAATGGGATACCTGTTTCAGGTGAGTTTTTGTGCACTTGTGGTGCACAAGCTTTGTCTTCGGTTGTATAATGCCATGGGCTGTTTCTGACCTGCATCACAAATAAATAGCTTGTCCCTGAGGAAAAAAAAAGTACTTGTCACAAATCCCCAAAAGAGTGGCTTTTTTTTAATGTTTGCCTGATGTTTTTTCATTAAGACCAGCCTGTCCCTAGGTATTTTCACCTGTGGAGGAAAGCAGTAGTTTTGTGGAGTTTTCATTTGCTCTGCAGTACTGCTGCTCTATTCCCAGCCTTCTTGTTCTTTTTAACATTCATTATTTACTCCCCTCGAGACACTGTATCCTCTCTGTCTCCTTGATTTTACTGACATTTTGTTCTGTCGTTCAATGTCATTCCTTCCTTGTTCTCCCCTCAATCTCACTAAAGCCATGACCCAGCGTCTAATGCATTTTGCTTTCCCTGATATACTTCGAGCCACAAAGAAAAACATTTTTAAGAATTTCCAAGGCGCACTCAGATGGTTTTCTCTGCATTGTGTAATTTATGCCTTCTTTTGCCTCCAAGTATCTGCTCTTCACTTCTCTTATCCCTCATTATTCTCGATGGTAGTGAAGTTTGTGTGCAGGTTTGCAGTCATTTTCAGTGCTAGTTACCAATAACTTTTTTTTCTGCTTCAAAGTAGACTAGACCCACATCACGACATAGTGATAATTATGTACGGATTCATAGTTTTGAATGCTTGAAAGGAAGCATTAATTAGGATAATTTTCAGTCAGTTGCTAGAGAAAACTGTTAGAGCAGGTGGCAACTTCAGTGTTCATCAAGATATTCCTGTTGTCCTCCCAGGACTGTTCTCATCAATCATGCGGGAACTGGCCAACATCACGCATGACGGTCCCAAGTGGATGGTCCTAGATGGAGATATTGATCCGATGTGGATTGAATCTCTTAACACCGTGATGGATGATAATAAGGTAAGGAATATAAGTTAAAGTAGCAGGTATTCCTCGACTGTGTGATGTGATTCAGCCTAGGAGATATGCAGGTGCTGAAATAACACCTCCTGTAACAATGCACTTGTGTTTCTTCAGATACACCAAACAATATTGTATTATAAAAATGGTGCATGAGGGAAATAGCTCAAAAGATATTTTCATTGAAATTTCCTTTTTCCTGGAGAGTTGGGCTCATGAGTAACCACAAATGTCCTGATCATAGCTTCAAGCCTTTTTAAAATATGTTTCTTCCCCGCCCTAAGGGAGCGCTGTTGATTCTGGGCCACGGAAGAGAGACGGATCGTTCTACGACGTGTAGGAAATCAGCCTCTTTGCCGCAAGGATCTGGACTTGCAGCAACCAACCTTTTTGTTCTTATGCTTTTCATTCCTATTCCTGAGGAGGGTTAGTCTCTCTGTCTGTCTGTCACAATACAGGTGCTGACCCTGGCAAGCAATGAGAGAATCCCTCTGAACCCAACGATGAGACTGGTCTTTGAAATCAGCCACTTGCGTACAGCAACCCCAGCAACCGTGTCCAGAGCGGGTGAGTCCTGGCCTGAGCTTCATGCTGGGATTTGACATGGACCAAGTAGGTTCTAGTGCCATTAACCAGTCTTTTGTTGGCCAACTTGATCCATCTTGAAAGTTCCCAACTTGGGATCTCGACTGCCTTTGGTGGACAAGGCAGTTTCATGAAACATACAGACAAACTGAGGATCCTGACCCCAAATCCAGATGGGGGGAACTGTCATCATCGTGCAGGGGATTTACCCAGAGCTCTCTGACTATTGAGGGGTGATCATGGCTTCAGCATTGCCCAGAGAGTGACCCTGTTTTGCAAAGTGCTGTATGTACTTGAGGAGCAGGACAGTCTCTGTCCCAAGGAGCTCTGAATTTTCTGGAGAAGGGTGTGAAGTGTGGGAGAGGGGAATGAAAGTGTGCCCGAGTTTTACATGTGGGAAAATAAGGCCCAGAGCAGTAACATGACTCAGGCAAGACCCTGTTCTGAGTTTGGGGCAGGATCATGAGAGGTATCCTGGTTTCCTGAGTTAAGTCTCTTCACTGTTATTGCTTCTACTCCACAGTGGGGCAGGAGGAGTGGGTAGGCAATGGGACACTCAGGCATGTTTGACAAGGTTTAAGTTGTATGAAACTAGTTCAGAAATTCTGCTGGAAGAAAGGAATTTTCTCTGCTGTGTCTTTACTACGTGTTCTCTCTCACCCTGGGCATAAAGGGATCCTGTACATCAACCCGTCGGATCTGGGTTGGAATCCTCCAGTGAGCAGCTGGATTGACAGGCGAGAGATACAGTCTGAAAGAGCCAACCTGACCATTTTGTTCGATAAGTACCTGCCAACTTGCCTGGACACCCTCAGAACAAGGTACCATCTGAAGAGTGCTTGTATCTCCTGTGGCGAGGGCAGAGGGGATGCTCACCACTTCCCAGAGGAGCTCTGCTGGGGTTGTGCTGCAGGTGGTGCGGGTGGCTGGTTCCTCCTCACCTCTAAGAGCCTTGAGCATCATTACCTTAAGCTCAGAGAAACAACAGGGCGAGTTGGGGGTGCTGGCACTCCTGCCCGTCCTTTGTTGGTCTGATCTGCTTTGCGTTTGCTTTTTGTTGGATTTTGATTTGAATGTTCCTGTCTTCCTCCTACTAATTCTGTATCTGTTGGAAAGTAAACCTGTGAGATCCTAAAGAGAAACTTCTCCATCTGCTGATGTGTTAGGCTAGAGCTGAGTTCACTCTACAAGTTATTTTTCAGTAGAGCAGATTTCAGACCGCTGCTGAAGGAGTTTTCAGTATGCAGTGTGGAAGGTGGGCCGAGAAAATCCTCTTTTATCCTCTTCTCCCTTCTTTTCCTGTCCCTTGGTGATGAAAAGGAAGTTGGTGTTCATGGGAGAGGATGAGCTTTCTCTACAGGCAGTTCTCTTTTTAATTTCTTTCCTGGTGCATTTAAATGAAATTAAGTCAGCCTGTGTGGGCATCCAGCCTGAGCATGTTTCATGGTTGGGCACCAAGCAGATGAACGTGAAGAACTTGGATATTTGGAAGGGCCCTGATGCTCCTTGGCTTGAGTTAACCTCAAAGGGCTGCCCACAGAGAAGTCGTGTGCTTCTTGCTTACTGTCACAGAAGACAGCTCTGTTACTCATACTGTGGTGAGGACTGGCCAAACCAGCATCACAACAGACTGGAGTAAGGGAGTTTCTCCCATTTTCTGCTTGCACTTTCATTTTAAAAAAATAAAACTAATCAATGAATCGATGTACAACCGAGCATGGGAGCTGTCAGCCCCAACAGGGATATGTCAGAAGGGGCTGCGTTAGTGCAGGCAATGCCCTTCGAACGTAGGAGCTGGTTGTGGCTCTTGGCAGCAAAGTCCACTGACTGTTTCCCACTCTATTTGCTGAGCGTTGTGTCAGACCATGAAATCCATGGGATTAGCTGCGGGCAGCCCTGAGCTGAGTATTTTTGGTAGCTTACTTAATTCAGAAATTGTAGAACCAACCTTTCAAAAAGCTATAATTACTTTATGGAGGACTTTAGTGCTGCTACAATATTAGTTTGGAATTCTGTAAGTGTAGCTTAAATGAATGTAAAATGGCAAGATGAAAGGTTTTATTTTATTACTCCTCTATTTGACCGCTTTTGAACTCATCGTGTTCCCAGGAAATCATTGCCTTTAGCAAGTCTCCCATTTTACTTCTTTCAAGAGGATCAAAGTTCTCAAATGCTTAAAACTTCTGATTACTGTTATTACTTGTATGTGTGCTGGTGCCAGCAGGTCCACGGGAGAGAATGGGTGTTCTCGTTATTGCTGTACCCAGGAATAAGACACGCGCTGCTGACAAGTAAAATGCTAATATTCTCAAAAAGCATTTCTCGACTTGCCTTCTTGGGTTGTGAGCGACCAAGTTGCTGGACCCAATTATATTTACCCTTGCTTTCAATTTCTATCCTGCAGATTTAAGAGAATTATTCCTATTCCTGAGCAGAGTATGGTTCAGATGTTGTGCTGCCTCCTTGAGTGCCTCCTGACGGAGGAGAACACACCTCCGGACTGTCCCAAGGAGCTTTATGAACTTTACTTTGTCTTTGCTGCTGTCTGGGCCTTTGGCGGGGCAATGTTTCAAGATCAGGTGAGAAGGAAAATGCCACTTCAGTGTCTTTTATGTAGGCCTTTTTTTCTTTCCTTTTTTTTCCTTCTTTTTTCTTCCTTTTATTTTTTTAGTTTTTTCTTACTTTTCTAGTTTTTTTTTCCTTTTATTTAGTTTTTTTTTCTTTTTTTCTACTTTCCAAAACACAGTACTATATCAGCAATGTTATTTTCCCAGGGCTCTCATATAGGTGATAATAAACTAGAAATGCGAACACGACACTTCCTTCTGTGAAAGACCTCGTTATCCTGGGAGTAGCACCAGAGGAGGGGTCAGGGGATAACGGTGGAGGGGTGTTTGCTTCTGTAGACACATTTCACTGGGGAAAAACATAAAGTTAATTTATAGAGGCCCGTGGTTGTGCATAATTACAGCTGACTTATCAGCTGAATATGTCAGTGGAGCCGTCTGACTATGTGTGTAGGGGTTATGGGTATGTGTTACAGGTAACAAATGAGCCGGTCCTCCATCACCACTGCCTTTTATGAAATGTAGCTGGATGTCAGGAATTGCCTGCCCTCCATTTCTGATGGAAATACAGAAGAACGAGGGGTGGTCAGCAAGGCCATGTGGGCTTTGGGGACCATGTGCTTCAGCTGGAGTGGATGCAGGCAGCAGCTCTACTCTTTGAAATAGAACCATAGAATCATAGAATGTTGGGGGTCGGAAGGGACCTCTAGGAATCATCTAGTTCAACCCCCTGCTAGAGCAGGATCTCAACCAGAGTAGGTCACACAGGAATGTGTCCAGGCAGTGTTTGAAAATCTCCAGAGCAGGAGACTCCACACCTTCTCTGGGCAGCCTGGGCCAGGGCTCCGGCACCCGCACAGGGAAAAAGTTCCTCCTCGTGTTGAGGTGGAACTTCCTATGTTATAACTTAAATACATTATTCCTTGTTCTATTGCTGGGCACCACTGAGAAGAGATTGTCTCCTTCTTCTTGACCCTCACCCCTCAGATATTCCTATACGTTAGTAAGATCCCCTCTCAGAGTCTTCTTTCAAGGCTGAACAGCCCCAGGTCTCTCAGTCTCTTCCCAGGAGAGATGTTCAAGTCCCTCGATCACCCTCGTAGCTGCCCATTGGACTCTCTCCAGTAGGTCCCTGTCTCTCCTGAATTGTGGAGCCCAAAAAATACTCTTGCTGGGAGTATTCTGGCACGGTTTTTGGTTCTTGTAGGTGCTCAGCTTGGACTATCCGCTGGGCAGCTGTTGGGTGCTCTCTGGCATGAGCTGCTAGACTCAGTGAAGCAATTGGTGGATGGATGTCTACATCCAAGGCTGTAGTGCTGGAGAGCACAATCTAGAGACCAAGATGTTGGGTCAGGAGGATGAATCAGGCCATGGTTCGCTAGTGGTGGCTCTGATGCTCAAGGTGGGCTCATGTCCCAGAGGCAGACTTCTCTCCATGCTGATTCCCATAGTACATCTGTCCCATGGGTTAACTGCAGCTGTCAGCCTCTGAATCCATCACGCTTGTGTTAGACGAGGTGGATGTGATCTCTTGCATGATGATATTGTTACAAGATAGTTTTCTCGAGGTTGGGATTTCATGTGGCACATTTTCAGACCCCTTTCAGGCTGAGACCCTTAAAACATGGGAGAGGCACAGCCATTTACAGCTGGGGTGAAACACCGTTGCTTTGGTGGGACCATGTAGCATGTGAACAACAGGATCTTGGGTATGAACTTCTCCAGACTTGCTTGGAGGGAGCAGGATTGTGCTGCTACCTCAGACCTCCCTGTTCTCTGTCTCAGGATCCCCAGTGTCTTGTTTCACAGGAGAGAATTAGGCATGTCCTTTCCCTGCCATGCCCTGTATCACCCCATTCCCCGGCCAGCTGGGCACAGCAGGACTCTCGATTTCCAAGTAATTGGAAAAGCTGCTGCTGTTTTATAATTTCTGACTGTTAACAGTAATAATAGACAAGAAGACAGTGGGCTGTGTGTCAAGAGTCTTGCTGCCAACATTGGGGCCACCCTTCTCTCCCCGGTCCCGTGCCTGTGCTTAAAGGACAACTTTCCACCCTCTCTTGGCATTGTTGTTTCCGGATCTACACATTGGAGATTTTCAACGTGACTGGTTCAGAGGTGGGCAGGAGAAATCTGAGGCACTTGTGGAGGGATGTAAGAACACCTGTGGCACCTGAAGGACTTGGGTTTTGGGTACCAGGTTTTCAGCAAGTGGCACAGGGAGCAATGTGAGCAGCTGCAAAGCCTGCAGGTGGGACTGCGTTTGCTGGAGGTGCTCACTCTGGTTCTGCCCAATGCCTGCTGGGAGCCTCTCATGTGGTTGCATCTCCTGGTCAGAGGATACCTCACCTTCAGGTCTAAAGCATGTTATACTGCTGTGTGGGTCTGCCCAGTGACAGGATACTTCTGTCACAGGCTCAGAGATCCACACCTGGTCTCTAGTGGGCTTGTGTCAAACTCTGTGCTGACTAGAGTATGTGGGAGGTCTCTCTGTGGACCTGGCACCAGAAATCCTTCCCAAGGTCGGGTGGAGACACTCCTGCCTCTTGTGTTTTTTGCCGTGTGCCTCAATGCAAGAGCAACATCCTCTGCTGGACTCTTCACATTTGCTTTGTGCCAAGGAGCAGATGTTTCAGGAAATGACAAACAGCACAGCTCAAGCTCAGCTTGGTGCTTCAGTGCCATCATGCCTCGTGGCCTTTGAATGACCTGTGCGAGACCAGATTTCTTGGTCCTTGTGGAGGACTTAACCCTCCATCTCCTACGTGCCAGCTGGGGAACGCTCAGCCTTAGTGTCATCAGTGCAGGGTGACTTTAAAAACCCCAACAGAAGAAAGCCTGGGAAGCACTGTCTGCCCTTGCATCAGAAGCACAAGCTGCTGCCTAATTATAGGAGCCCACAGCTCCTCGAGCAAGTCGGCTGGAGCGCGGGCGCCTGGCAGATGGACGCTGCGTTCCCCGTGCCGGAGCAGGGTCAGTCCCTGGCCTTGCTTCTCTGCCTGGCTTCCAGGGAGGGATGACCTCGGCTCTTACCAGGCGGGTTGCAGGAGGAGCTGCGGGCACAGCATTCTGCCGGGAGGTTCGGCTGCCGGGCTGGACCGTGCGTTGCTGCTTGCGATGCTCTGTAAATGTCAGAGAAGAGTGTGCGAGGATACAGCAGTTGGAGCAAGGGGGAGCCCGATGAAAAATGATCCAATATAAAATTCTGTTTATTGCTCTCCATCGAAGGTGCCCTTCGTGCTGACCTTTTGCTGCCGAAATGTCAAAAGAAACAGTCTGGAAGGCTTCCCGCTCCTCTGTGCTTGGTGGTGGGTAGCGGGGCCCCTGTGTAAAAACAGATGATAGATTTGCCTTTTCCAGGCTCTGAAATTAGCAGAAATATCCATATGGGGTTGTTATTAGGGAAGCAGTCTGAGTTCGACATCATTCTGGGAGTAAAGCCGGGGCTGGAGTGGCTCCACTTAACTGCTGGGCTGGAGAGGGTGGGCAGCCCGGCACAATGCAGCTGCAGGCAGTTTGGGGTAAGGGCACCCTTGTGAGAAAGCTTTTTAGCAGTGAGACACATCCCTTTCCACTGCAGGCTACTCTGCTGCTGGTGCTGAGGAGCTATAGCAACAGGAGAATGCAGAATTACGGTTATTCTACCTCTCTGAATAGCACAAGGCTGCAAAATCGTGGATACTAATAATGTGGTTTGCAAATCTTCTCGCCTTTTGATGAATGGGGGCTCAAGAGACTTTACAGAGGGCGCTCGATTCAGTTCAACTTCAAATGAAGGTTTCCTGATGGAGGCTGAGCAGCCTACGGGCAATATGCTGGTGATCCTACCGGAGCTTCTGGCCTGGGAAAGCAAGTCACAGAGCTGTGGGGAGGAGAAGCTCACACATGCCCCAGGAAGAAGGTGTGCTGTTAAAACCAGCTAAATTATGCATCGCCTATTTCAGAGCCACCTTTTTAACAGCACTTTTCCCTCCTTCCCCCACCTGCTTCTCCCCAGGCCAGAAGGCTGACATCCCTGTTGTCTGCATGAGGCAGCATTCAGGCAGAGTGACCGGCCCCATGTCATAAGGAGTGGGGAATGGGGGGAACTAAGCACATTTGGCAAGTCTTGACCCAGCATCTAATGCAAAACTGTCACCCCAGCTCTTGAAACAATTCAGATACTCCAAAGTCTCCGTGCATAGCAAGGTGTCACGGAGAATGACAAGGCAGCAGGTGCTGCCAGGGCGATGTGGCAGTGCAGAGCTAGAGGGACATGATCCCTCTCTTGTGCTTCAGTACGCTGGTGTCTGCAGTCCTGCTTCTCCAAAAACACTGTGGCTGGAAAAGAGTCCAGAAGGCAACAGCTGAGTGTTAATAGAGGGGTGTGATTTATGAGGGAGGGCTTTAGTATGCACACGTTCCCTAACCATGACCACAGATGTGGACGGATGTTTTGTCCTTGGCTGTGGGAAGAAGCAGGCACCAAGAATCAATCCCATGGTCTGTTTAGTCACAGTCATGTATTTCTCTTTCAAACTGATCCATCTATCTAATCTCGGACTTAGAAGAGTGTTCAACACAGCAGATGAATTATTTGAGTGAATAAATAGAAGTGATGAGAAGAAATGTAGAAAATGAAAAATTAGGCTGAATGACAGGAAAAAGGGTAAATTCATTATGCTGGGAATGTATTTTAAAGCACTAATCCCATTCTGGTGGCCTGGGATCAATAGCATTCACCCTCACTTAATGAATTTCTCCAGATCAGCACGTTTTCTCCTGTTTTTGTCCTGCAGCTTGTGGACTACCGAGTGGAGTTCAGCAAGTGGTGGGTGACAGAATTCAAGACTATCAAGTTTCCCTCTCAGGGCACAGTCTTTGACTTTTACATCGATCCAGAAACAAAGAAGTTTGAGCCTTGGTCTAAACTGGTTCCCCAGTTCGAATTTGATCCAGAGATGCCATTACAGGTATGTGAACCTTGCATGTTTGGTATCTGGGAGGAGCAGACGCATTTTAGTGACTGTATGCGGGCGTTTCAGTGAAGTCTGGTTAAAGATCAAGCACTTTGTTAGTAAGGACGCCATTCTTTATGAGCTACAGCTACATCACCCACTTTACTGTGCTTTCACTGTGAAGACACATCCTCCACCCATCTTCCAAGAATGAGTGATATGCATGAAGGGCAGGCTCAGAGCCACTCTTCCAGTGGCCCAGGAGCTGGTGTCCCCAGAGTGCAGGATGGGATTTTGTCATCCTGTGTGTCTGAAAGTAGAGATGTTTTTATGTTTGGACAAAAAATGAGAATTTCTGCAGGTAGCGAATTGCATTTGCCAGCTACACTTTTCTTTCCTTTTTAGAAGTGCCACGGTGAGCAATAACTTGTAAAGCTTGTTACACTTTTAGCAAAATGTGTGTTTGTGGTTAGATCCAGATGCTGCTCCCAGCATCCAGCTGTCAAGGTTGCATCTGTACACACAGTTTGATTTTAACAGTTGGCAGCAGCGCATCGTTCCCCTCCTCGTTCAATCTAGAAACTAGGGTCACCACACTCATCCTTGGCTCTGCCAATTTTATCCCTGGCTCTGCCCATTTATTTATTTATTATAGAGCTACAAGGATAATCAAGGGACTTGAACATCTCTCCTGGGAAGAGAGACTGAGAGAACTGGGGCTGTTCAGCCTTGAAAGGAGACGGCTGAGAGGGGATTTATTAATGTAGAGAAATATCTGAGGGGTGGGTGTCAAGGGGAAGGGGACAATCTCTTCTCAGTGGTGCTCAGCAATAGAACATGAAATAATGAGTGTGAGCTCGAACATAGGAAGTTCCACCGCAACATGAGGAGGAACTTCTTCCCTGTGCGGGTGTCGGAGCCCTGGCCCAGGCTGCCCAGAGAGGGTGTGGAGTCTCCTGCTCTGGAGACTTTCAAACTCGCCTGGATGCGTTCCTGTGGGGCTGCCCTGGGTGACCCTGCTCTGACAGGGGTTTGGACTTTACGATCTCTAGAGGTCCCTTCCAACCCCCAACATTCTATGATTTCTCCCCAGAACATGACTATAGGGTGGTGGCAGGGATGGGGACACTTATCTGCTCACTATGCCCTTTTCAGGCTTGCCTGGTGCCCACCACTGAGACAGTCCGTGTGCGGTACTTCATGGACAAGCTTCTGGAGCGCCGGCACCCGGTGATGCTGGTGGGCAACACCGGCACAGGAAAGTCCGTGCTGGTGGAGGACAAGCTCTCCTCGCTGGACACAGATGCGTATGTGGTGAAGAAGGTCCCGTTCAACTACTACACCACCTCTGCCATGCTGCAAGGTAAGACAACAACTCACGTGCAGGACTTCTGCCTGGCAGGGTACCAAATTCCTGGTGTATCCTGTGAGTGTTTGGAGTGGGATGTGCATTGTGGTGCTCAGGGAAAGACCTGTGGGTGAGCTGCCCATGTCATTTGTGGGCACTGTGCTGACACCTACAGGCTCTGGAACCCCTCTGTGAAACTCCAAGGTCGGTGGAGCCCTGGTTGTGTGGAAGATGACATTTGCCAACGTTCAGGGCTGCACCAAAGCACATGCTTAAATCTGCTGCTGCTTGATGCAGTGCCCAGCTTGAAGCGTGGCCTTAATATGCTTGAATTTAAGCCTGCACTGAATAGGATGGGTTTCTTGGCTCAGATCCAAACTGTCCTCAGGGTGCAATGACGGGAGTTGAATCCCAGTTAGTAGCAAGGATGGTGCAAAATGGATATGTGCAAGCTGGAAGCCAGGGCTGCTGGGTCCTGGTGCTGTCCTCCGCATCCTGCACAGCCCCACGGACCAGGTCCTGCATCTCAACCTCCTCAGGGGGCACAGGGCTTACTGACCCTGTGGGGCTTAGAGCCCCAGGGAATCACCAGCCCTGGGGTAATTGATAAGAATATCGCTGATGAGAGTTTTGGCATGACAGTGAAAAATTAAGTTTGAGACCGAGTTAAGGTCAGTTCTGCTGTGTAGTCTTGTCAAAGACAAAGACAGAGCAAGGAATTCTTGAAAAGTGGTTCATTTAGGAATTATGTTTTCACTTTGAATTGACCTGAAGAGACCAGGTGTTTTATGTGCCTGTATTAACGAGGAATAAAACAAGCTGGTTTGTTCTGAATTCAATAACAGCCATGGCTCACCATAAAACAAAATTGCCTCCTCTCTGTAGTTTGGTTTGACCTGAATGTCCTGAAATCCTTTTGCTCCCTCAGTCATATGCAGGACCACCATCCACCATTTGGTGAAACCAAAGATTTAACCTTCACACGCTGGGTTGTTCCTGGTCAAGTTGTTCTTCAGTTTCCTGGGGCAGGTTATTTGACAGGTTTTTGGTCTTGCCCTCCTAGGCTCTCCTGCCCATCCATGGGCTGGTGCCTGTGCCTCTGCCCACAGTGGGAATGCAAATTACTGGAGTTTCGTGTCCTTCAAGCAAAAAAAAAACCAAAACAGTAAAAATCTCACCTTTAGGCCAGTCTTGTTTGATGGTTACAACCTCCTTTTTTCCCCTCACAGGTGACCTTTTTACTTTTCTCCCTAGTGGGATCTCTGGGCGATATCCTTGGGTGGGGCAATGTGCTCTCATTGCTCTCCATCTGGATGGGCAGGTGTGTGCAGGTGATGGGATTTATCGGGCAGCCCCGGCAGCGTGTCCCAACTTACTCTGGCCATGAGCTATGGGCCAAGACAGCGGCTTTCTGCCTCTGCCGAGAGGAGCAAGCCGACTTTTGTGTGGATGAAGATGTGGTGGTGGGATTTGCATTGGGAACTAGGATTTCTCCTGCTTGGCCTGCTTCCCTATTGCTCGCTTTTTAGAGTCAACTTGTCCCTTTCTGTGTTGTTTGTCAGTTGGCAGCTTATTTTTCCCTCAGCAGGGACGTCTTAACCTTTGTAAAACAGGGATACAAAGCAGGTTTGGATTTTTTTTCTTCTTTTAGCTTAAAAAAAGAGCCTGACCTGAAAGCCAGTAATTTCTTAGACAAGATGACTGTTGCTGCAGAGATTTATAAGGCGCAGAGTAGGCTTCCTTTCCGGGAAGCACGGGTGTGTGGTTCAAACCCTGCTTATGGGCCCTGGACCTTACTGAATTGCCACGGGAATAAGGGTTAAAAGGAGCCAAACGCTCTCTCTGCCCAAACTTGGGGCCAGTCGGGGTATTTTCTTTGGTCTATTGTGACTGGACACTGCTTTCTGTGGTGTTTTGTCACGCTCTCAGCTCTTCTGCTCTCTCTGCTTCGTGCCGTCTCGGATCTCTGCTCCTCCATCAGATGTAGCCCTGACTTCTGTCATAGAATTGCCGCGGTTGGAAGGGACCTCAGAGATCATCTCATCCAACCCCCTGCCATGGGCAGGGATGCCCTTAACTAGCCGGGGTTGCTCACGGCCTCATCCAACCTGGCCTTGAACAGCTCCAGGGAGGGGGCAGCCACAACCTCCTGGGAAATCTATTCCAGAGTCTTGCCACCCTCCTGCCGAAGAATTTTTAATCCAGTTTAAATCTATTTTCCTTTAACTTAAATCCATTTCCCCTTGTCCTATCAGGGGACACTTTTTAAAAATTCCCTCCCCAGCCTTCCTGTATGTTCCCTTCAGGCACTGCAGGCAGTGATAAGGTCTCCCCAGAGTCTTCTCTTCGTCAGACTGAACAATCTCAGCTCCCCCAGCCTGTCCTCATAGCAGAGGTACTCCAGCCCCTGGATCATCTTTGTGGCCTCCTCTGGACTTGTTCCAACAGATCCATGTCCCTCTTACAGTGGGGACACCAGAACTGGACGCAGTGTTAGAGGTGGGTTCTCTGTCATTCAGCACCTTTTTGCTCCAGCTCCACCCTGAGAAAATGGCATAAAAAGTTGGGTTTTTATTTTTAGGTGGTGTCCCCCCGCTTTATCAACAGCTAGCAGACAAGAGGAGTCGTTAAATCTCCTTTGCTGTGACTGTTTCTTTCAGGTGCTAATTTGAGTATGTCGGGATCTCTGAGGCAGAGACACGGATCCTTTAATATCGTGAGATATGGCTTTAGATTAAAATGCAACTTTCGTGAACTTGATCCCCAGTAATTGCATTTCAGTGTGATGAATCCCCTGCATACTTGTTTAACCTCAAAAAGGGCTGATTTTATATATTAATTAAGGACTAATTAAATTTAAATTAAATGCTTATTTGAAACACTTAATTTAACTTGCTACCAGAAATTTCAAACGTTGTGGTTTTATTGAAGGAGAGAGAGACTCCACTGAGCAAAGATTCATCATTTTTCTTAGCACAACTCACTCCGTTGTGCAGCAACTGTCTCTGACATAAAATCTGCTGAATTTTGAGTAGTGGGAAAGACAAGCTGTCTGCAAAGCACTGAAGCAGTAAGAAGAAGAAGAAGGTGTTTTGAAAGATTCGCGGTCTGAAAAAATCAGAATATTAATCTCCCTTAATAACTTTTGCACACAATAATAAATGCTTTAAGTGTACATTTTCACAAGGAGACGTTTATAAAAATTCCCAGTCCCATTTGCATTTGCCAGTCGTCCCTAATTACAAAGAATTGCTGCTTACTGTGCTGCTTTACAGCACCTTATAGGTCTGTCAGCAACCCCAAAACTGACTAAATGAAACAAATTCTCCCTCCGTCTTCAGACCAGAAAGCCCCTGAGCCTGAGGATGCTCTCCAAGTAAGCACGTGGCAGAAAACTCATCCAGGATTGGCACAGAGCAGAGCTGCTTCTGTTTGCTTTTCCGCTTACTGAGTCCATAAAGGTTACTTGGGCTGCAATCGAAGGAATCAATAGGCTATAAAACATTACGTGCAGCAATGTGGGATGATTTCTATTAGATATTAGCCCAACATCATAAATATGTTTTTATGATCTAGAGCAGCGTGAAACTTCAGCCTTCTGTTAGTACAAATCGAAATCTTCCAAAGCTTTGAAATGAGAAACTTTTCTCTCCAGACTTTCCCTTGCTTAGGCATGACCCTACTTAAAACTGGTTGGTAATTTTTCAGCTCACGTTGGGATTGAGTCTCGTCACATTGTTTGGAGGTTTGGGTAATACCGGGGAGGGGATCAGGGAACTTGTGTGTATTTGATGCATTTAAATAAAAAGATATTATTTTGATTGTTCTGAAGGTGTCCAGGAATTTAGCCCCCAAATCATCTATTTCGTTTGTCTAATGGAGGTAAAAAAAAAATGCACTTACTTTCACAAAATAAGCTTTACTTGTGGGCTTCTGTGCCCACAGCTTCTCCCTTGCTCCTTCCAAGTGCCCGGTCACTGCTGCTCATGTTTGCTGTGCCGCTGCTCTATTGCTGGGGTGGGCAGAAGAGGGTATTCACTTCTCTGTCATAGGGAGGGGAATAACTTCAGCAAGCAAGATTTAGTTTAAAAAAGCGTACGGGAGGGATTCAGAAGGCTTTATCGTGCATGAAGAGGTTTTATTTGCTCTGAGGCAGACCTGGTTTACAGCAGACTGTTTAGTTTGCTGTGTTTTTGTTTGAAAGGAGGAACTGAGAGCTTTCTGATTTCAGTTGAGTCAGACCAACAAGCTGCCCAAGGGTCCCTGCCAGCCCCATGCAGGACTCCCAGCTGCTCTAGAACTGTGGCTTGGGGACAGCCACATCCTGCTGGTAAGCAGCATTGTGTGCTGAGACCAAGTCTTCCTCCCCACAAAGCAAAAAGCAACCCAGATACAAGCTGGAGGGGGCTGGGGGCTTTGCCCTGTGCTGAGAGATGAGCCCTACCTGCCCCGTGCATAGCTCAGCCAGGTTGAGAAATTGTCTTATTTTGCAGCATTGACTTGCCCAGTAGCTCAGCTTTGCACCTCTGCCTCCATACAGGTGTTCTTGAGAAGCCTCTGGATAAAAAGGCTGGCAGAAATTACGGCCCTCCGGGCACCAAGAAGCTCGTGTACTTCATCGATGACCTGAACATGCCTGAAGTGGATGCTTACGGGACGGTGCAGCCCCATACACTGATCAGGCAGCACCTCGACTACGGCCACTGGTAGGAGGCTGCTTGGGCTGGGTTGTCCGAGCCTTTTTGTTCAGCTCCAGGATTGGGGATGGGATTTGAGAAGGATGTTAAAGTGCAGATCCCTCTTCCTATCTCATGTCTGTCAGCCTATCTGGTGAGGCTGAAGCTCGCTAGGAGGCTTTGAGTGAACCCTTGTCTCCAGCAAACCTACTCGCTCACAGCCTGGCTGAGAGGAGCTTTGCTCTGCTCTTGCTGGGGCTTGTGACTGGTCCCAGTGCAAAGCCTGCAAGGGGAGTGGGATGCTCAGCCTCGATGCTCTGCGATGCTGAGAGTGGATAAAGGCCGCAGTTTTGACCTCAGCTGGGATGAACCTCTGCTGTGAGCACCTAATATTGTTTTCAGCCAGGAAGCAG